TATAGCACCCGAACCCGTAGGCCCCGCAACAACAGCATCAACACCAGCAACAGCCCACCAGCGCAACACCAAACCAACAAGCACAACAGCCACCCGCCAACCACCAGCCCATGGCAGCCAACGTCAACGCGGGTAACGTCGCCGCGGGGAACAACATAGCGAACATCGTCCAACAATTCCACGTAAAGTCAGCCGTGATGAAGGGAAACAGGAAAGCGTGGAGCGAGGACGCCACAACGTGATGTAGTTTCTGCTGCGAGGCTGCTTGTTTGCGGCACCACTGCGAAGCCCGCCATGGCACACGCGCTACGCAAAGTTGCGTACCCATGTCCGGTCATGGTGGATTCCCTCGTGTCAACTTCGGCGTATCTAGGTTTACGCCAAGAGTGCCCCAAGGATTGAAACGCCGTGAATTCAGCGTGCACCTGGAGACGTTCATCCAACTCATTATCGAGATCAGCGAGCAAGGCACGAGGAATGCCGGAGAGCCGTCGACAGGAAGGCGACTGCTTTTTCGGGCGGAAACCGAGCGGGTTCTGAAGTCTGTCAAATCGTATGTAACCTTGTACAACGCCGAACTCCCCATATATAAGAAGAAGCAGCGTACGCGGCTGATCTACGACGACAACGAGGACATGAATGAATACTTCAGAAACGTGCGGGATGTCGCCGGCGACGTCCGGCAAGACCACGCTATCGCACTACCGGCGGTTGGCTACGCCCCCCCCATCCTGTCGCCACCTTTCTCTCGTGTAATAGCTCTGAAAGCCGAGGGTAGCGTCCACGCCCTGGTAAGGAAGCTACAACCAGGACTCGGCGGGATCCAACAACAGCAGCACAACAACGGAAACGGAAAGCAACCCGCTCGGCCAACAGCCACCAGACGTCCCGCGCACGTACCAACATTACAGCAGCAGCGGCACCCCCGCCCAAAACCATTTTCAACAGATGATGCAACAGTGGCAGTGCCCACCTAACGAGTGCTTTGCAGATAATAGTCGGAGACAAACCGAGCGAAGAAGGACAGTCGGTAGTGATGAGAGGCGACAATGTCTCCGCGGTGTCGTGGGTGAACAGATGCGGAGGGTCACGCGATAGACGAGCCGGCCTGCTAAATAGGGTTGCTAGGTCAGATCGAAACGCACAACGGATGATGCCATGTCGCCAAACACATCCCAGGTCGTAACAGCGTGCCAGCCGAAGGTATATATAGGATGGGAGACGGACAAGGTGGCGGAGGACGTGAAAGGGTTTACCAGCAACCAATCCTCGAGCTTCCAAGGTATCGGAAACCACGGAAGAGAACTGATCAGACTGATCCTCCAGAACGACCTACCTCAGAAATCGATGGATGAGCATGCCTGGAAGATCATGACCAGGTAGACCCCACTGAACGCACGTGATGCTGACAACGCCGTTACTGCTTGCGTTATGCTACAGGAACAAGTGAAGAACATGGAGAAGGAGGAACTAACGCTGAAGGCGAACGATTCGATGACCTTCTAGATCACGGGTCCGTGAACGAGAGTACGAAGAGACGATACTGTAGGATGTTTTGAACATGGACGGAGGAGAGAGCCAAGGCTGGGTGTGGATCGTGGCTGCTAGAAGAGCACGGTATCGACAGCGCTGTGAGAGAGTTGACTGTGTTCATGGCGTCCGGATGTCTAGCGTACCAAAACCGGAGTTGAACGGTCAGACGGTACGGTAAGCTAACGCTGGGTGGAAACTGCCTACGTCTCATTCGAGAGTGCCGGCAGCAGAAAAACCGATTGATAGAGCGCATGCTACGCAAAGGTCGCAAGTCAAGACCAAGAGCTGAACCCGATCACGTTCAACATGTTTCGAGAAGGAAGGGACTTTGGAGGACGAGGTGGTTGAGTAGAGAGCAGGTCGTGTGGATGGGGATCGCCCTTTCGTATTTCTTGCTATGTAGGCGTCAGAGCTACGGGCATACGACAACGGTGGTGCGGACTTCAGCTTGGCTAGAGGTTACCTTGCGTTCTACGACGGACCAAAGGAGACGGAAGGAAGAAGGACGGAGGGAGGGGTAAGGGGAGGGGGGGAAAGGCGTGTAGGAGGAGGAGGAGAGGAGGAGGAGAGGAGGAGGAGAGGAGGAGGAGGAGGAGGAGGAGGAGGAGGAGAAAAGGGGAATGCGGCTTTTTCGGGCTCGCGTATTTAATCAAGTCTGTCGGAAAGTCGTAGGCGAACGGTAGGCGGAACGTAACACTCACGGTATGCATATTCCGTCGGGGTTTCACACGCGCAAAGGAGCGTTTTTCTCCGTGCTGAAAGAATATGTTCGAGGATGTGGTGTGGATGATGTGGATGGATGTGGTTGTTGTGTGGAGACACCAATACGACTTGGCGCAGGAATGGAAGGAAGGCCGGTTTTAGTGCCAATGTTTGATCTGTACAGATCAAACAGGTTTGATGTGCAGATTCTAGTGCATCTCGCCCCCCCATCCCCCCTCTAGCATCGCGTCCCCTTCCCGGGGGCGCGTGCAGAATGCGCAAGCAACACCAATCGCAAAGACGGTTGGTGTCCACTGCCGTATACTATTATTGCTGTATACCAGCCATACAGTCAAACAAGACGAGGGAGGAGGGGAGAAATGAAATCTTGTAGGTGTGCGGGATCACTTTCTTGATCGCCGGCCTGCTCTGTCTGTAGGTTTTGGTATAGGTTCGATGGTGGCGCGTCGAGACGTTCCTACTGCACCTTCATGGATGCGAGGGGACTTTGGACGAGAACTGACACAACGGTAAAGGGGGGGTGGGGGACAGGATATTGGCGAACGGAGAGACAAAAGATACGACTTCGTTTCTGACCGCCGTCGGGAAATGGAGAGTTTGGAGTTGTATGTACAAGTCATCGCTGTGTACGTACGTGAGCATACTCCAGCTTTGAGTCCCCGTATCTTGCCCGAGACTGAAAACCACGGCAGCAGTAGATCGACAAAACGTATCCCACTCGAAGCAAAAAGTGTACGAGTAATCACCATTCACTGTATACACATCACCTGCGTTTAGGAGTGGATACATGTCTACAGCAGTAGAGGTCTCTGTGTGGGTCAGTAGAATACGGCGGTGCTTTTTTGTTCTCCGCTTCTTCCTCACGGCGGTGCTTTTTTGTTGTTGGTTCTCCGCTTCTTCCTCACGGTCATCCGAGGCGAGCACGGGATACGACCAAATTCAACTCCCGGGTATTCATGACGAAGAACAGTCGCCTCTTTGATCCTAGCTGCCAACGTGGTCCTTGTTGTGGATTGCGAAGAAGGTCAGAGCTCTTCCTCTCATGACATGAGCTCCTCTCTCCTGCCTTCGAACGTGGGTATATCTCGAACGGGTAGTCTTTTTGTGTGTATTTATTTTTCCTACACAATATCGTACGTTGTGTTGCCTCCCGGCAGCATGCACCTCACAGATCTCTGCATTATGTTATTTGCTACCACACCTCCGTTGGGTCGCCCGTACAAAGAGATGTTTTGACATGCCAAAGACAGCAAGGCAGATAGGAATGCATCAGAGATGCCTTCATTATGGGCCGCCTCCACGCCGCACGTACTGCTCAAACAAACGGAGGACGGTCGGAGACGTGCCAAACGCATTTCTTAATTACTCCGGTGAACCCAGATAGCCCGGAAGAACACAAGACTCAACCACCGCATTTCCGGCAACCAACACAACACCCACGACCCCTACCCATCGAGTGCACACCTACCGCGTACCCTCTTCCCAGACCAGGTGAAGGTTGAGGTGTATGGTTAATAGCGACGGGGTAACGTTGGCGCGTGCTTGTGAGGTACTTGTGTACGAGTTGAAGGGTACAGTAGAGGAAGTTCTTGGCAGCAAGTGCTGACCTGGTGCATATCCCGCTTTTTCGGAAATCTATCTATGCATACAGGCGGGCCGGCACATCGAGCGGTCGGATGAGTATTGTCTACATAGGTGTTGTGCTACTTATATAGGAGGCCAAGCTCGTTGCGGAGGCCTCGTAGATGTGGCAAGTCGTTTGCACATTCGCATACAGTAAGGTGGCGTGTCGCCGTATTGTGATCTGTATCATCATGCACATCAGGCGAAATTCGTTATTCTTTACGGCCTGTTTGCGGCGCTGTATTGTATGCACACAGCTGACAGACTAGAGGGCAAAGCCTACTTCTGTGTTGTAGCTGAAAACCTTTAACCTTTGTTTCGCACGACCCAGAGGTTTCCTATCGCATGGCCACATATCATCGACGCGTGTGTCAAACTACGCCAGAGTAAAACCACGTCCTTCGATTGCATACGGAGCGCCACACAACAAAGACTGCTGTACAAAGGGCCTGCCCCAATCATTTTTCGCTCACGAAAACAGAAGGTCCACAGACGGGAGAATTCAAGGACAAAAATGGGTGATTATTCTTCACTGCTGTCGAACGATGTTCTACTACAATGTGCATGCACCCATCATCACGCCGAACCAACACGCTGAACTCCGCCGTCTCCTTCTGCTTGTCTTTCCGGGCAACCTACATCTAATCTCCCGTGTGGGCATCATGCTCAGTAAGCAAAATTGGGTAGGTTCACACCATTGATTGGATAACTCACTATACACTACAATTGTATGTACTGCTGCAGGAGTAGTTTGGGCGAACGGATTCAAAATTCTGGGGGAATTGACCAAATGGTTGGCTAAACACGGATCATATTATTGGGGGATCGACCAAAGGGGGTTTATCCCGAGGGATGCTTTCGAGTTGGGCGGTTGATCGTTCTTTCAGGCACGTTGTCGGTTGTGAGTCTTCGGATGTGTTGTGAATGCTGCGTACACCAACAACAAGGGTTTGGAGTATGGATCCGTCAAACATAGACTTCTTCTTCTCTATGTCTCTCGGCGCCGTTCAAACGAATCTATTTTTCACTGTCCCACACTAAATATTAGACACATGTGTTCGTTCCCGCTTGAACGACAGATAGATTTTAGGCGGCGGCGCAGATCGAACGACGTTCTCGTCATGGTTCGCAGCTGGACATGGACAGGATCCATAGGCAGCCTTCTGCTGTCCCTCGGCCGACACCATACTGGAGGTGAGCACCACCCTTTGACTCGTTCGCAGTTCGATTCGCATGAAAATTGTGGTATTTTTAAACGCCAAGCAAACGTGTGTGAAAGTGTCTTTTCCGGACGTTTTTGAGGTACGAACTGCTGTGCTTCGCCCGTCCGAACAGTCATGATTCCATCGACAACGGTCAAGCGAGGCAAGCTACAGCATGGACCCCCCCCCCCCCCCC